TTTCTTTGTTATGGGGTGGGGCCACAACATTAGTAACAAAGAAGCAGAATTTCCGGAGGATGAGGCCCAGAAATCAGGTTTTTAAAAGATTCTAATGTGCAGCCAAGGTTGAGAACCATTGTCCTAGGACAAAGGAAACAAAGGAGAAAAGAAATAAATGGAACTACATCAAAATAAAAAGCTTCTGCACAGCAAAAGAAACCATCAACAAAACAAAAAGGGAGCCCACTGTATGGGAGAACATATTTGGTAATGATACATCTGATAAAGGGTTAATAATCAAAATATATAAGGAACTCATACAACTTAACAAAAGGAAGAAAAGCCAATCAGAGAGATGCAAATTAAAATGACAATGAGGCATCACCTCACACCTGTCAGCATGGCTATCATCAGCAAATCAACAAATAACAAGTGCTGGAGAGGATGTGGAGAAAAGGGACCCCTCTTGCACTGCTGGTGGGAATGCAGACTGGTGCAGCCATATGGAAAATAGTATGGAGTTTCCTCAAAAAATTAAATATGGAACTGCCATTTGACCCAGTGATCCCACTTCTAGGAATATATCCTAAGAAACCTGAAACACCAATCAGAAAGAATGTATGTACCCCTACGTTCATAGCAGCACAATTTACAATAGCTAAGATCTGGAAACAGCCCAAGTGCCCATCAGTAGATGAGTGAATAAAAAAAGCTGTGGTACATTTACACCATGGAATACTATGCAGCTGTAAAAAAGAATAATATCTTACCCTTTGAGACAGCATGGAAGGACCTGAAGAGTATCATGCTAAGTGAAATACGTCAGTCAGAGAAAGACATGTTTCACATGATCTCATTCATAAGTGGAATCTAAGTAACAAAATAAACTGATGAAGAGAGTGGATCCAAGACATGGAAGCATGGAACAGAGTGCGGAATCTTGAAAGGAAGGCGGGGAGGTGCGTGGGTGGGAGGTAATCAACCAAAGAACTTGTATGCATATATGCATAATTCATGGACACAGACAATAAGATGCTGAAGGCCTGGGGTGGGGTGGGGGGGGCAGGTGCCGGCTGGAGGGGGTCAATGGGGGGAAAAAGAGGACATACGTAAAACTTTCAACAATAAAGATTTAGGAGACAACTAAGTTGGCAGGCGTAGGTAAACGCCTGTACTCCCCGCCTCCCACAACCACATCAAAATTACAACTAAAATACAGAACAACCATCATCCAAAACCACTGGAAAGCTGGCTGAATGGAAGTCCTACAACTAGAGAAGTACAGAAAGCACTGGGACTGGTAGGAGGTGCAGAGGCACTGAAAGGGCTGGTCCGGCACCCACGTGTGCCACTTTTTTAAGTGGGAGGGAGATCATCTCTGCAGAGGCCGCCCAGAAGAGCAAAGGGTCCCAGCCCCACACCAGACCCCCAGCCCAGAGTCCCAGAGCTGGGAAAAGAAGTCCCTATGGGCAGTAAGAACTACGGACTGTAAAAACCAGTGCGGACTGGGGCTCAGTGACAACAGAGGCTGATAGAGACCCAGCTGTTCCTCTTAAAACGCCGGCACCATGAACAGAACTTACAAGGTCCCACTTCCTCTGAGGTCCAGCACCAGGGCAAGTCTCTGGGGAACACAGACACATAGGAGTAGGAACTGGATTGTCTGGCATCAGGACAGGAACTCAGGCAGCTTGCTCCCAGACGGAAGTGCTCACAGGGATCATTGTTCCCAGGTTGCAGGGCTGAGTGGCAGCCATTTCTGTTTGCTCCGCCCAGGTGATTCCCTAAGACCCTGCCTCATCCAATTTACAACCCTACCCAAGCTGCATGCAGCAGCTTTTGCATATGAATGGCTCAGGCTAAATCTTTGCTCAGGCTAAAATCTCTCAAATGAGCTGCAGCTGGATCAGGGAGCCCAAAACCTATCAATAAAAGGCCCAAGACCTGGTGCCAGCACCAGCCTGCCTTGCTCATAGTTCAGCCTCATCTGGGCACTTCCAAACTCGATACAAAGAGGAGGAATCTGCAGTTCTCTCTATAGCTCCTGCTGTGTGGCCCCAGGCAGTGGCTGACTTTGTACCTCTCTGGAGACCCAAGAGCCAGTGTACCCAGTGGTCAGTGTCAGACCATACCAGATTATAACTCTACACAGCCATAAGCGACACACTCAAGGGGCAGACTCAGTGAGCACCAAAGCCCCACTAAAGCAAGCCCTGCTCCATAGGGGTGTTCCCTGCACAGCAGCTCTCCCACTATAGTTTCAGCTGGTTCTCACAGCCAATTGGCCTGGAGGTCAATTCCTCCCAGTGACACCAACAGCAATCAAGTCTGACCTACAACAAGTCTGTGCTCACAGCCCACAAAGGCATGCACCTAGAGCTCCAAGCTCAGGTGACTGGGGAGGCTGAGCCACTGGACCCTGTAGAACACTCTACCAACTCAAGGAGACATAGCAGCTCTACCCAATACATAGAAACAAACACAGGGAAGCAGTCAAAATGCGGATACAAAGAAACATGTCACAAATGAAAGAAATGGAAGAAAGCAAAAAACACCCAACCAGAAGAGCAAAAAGAAAAAATAATCCAAAAATATGAAGATAGTGTAAGGAGCCTCTGGGACAACTTCAAGCGTACCAACATTTGCATGATGGGGGTGCCAGAAGAAGAGAGAGAGCAAGATATTGAAAACCTATTTGAAGAAATAATGACAGAAAACTTCCCCTACCTGGTGAAAGAAATAGACTTACCAGTCCAGGAAGCGCAGAGAACCCCAAAGAAAAGGAATCCAAAGAGGACCACACCAAGACACATCATAATCAAAATGCCAAGGGCTAAAGACAAAGAGAGAATCTTAAAAGCAGCAAGAGACAAGCAGTTAGTTACCTACAAGGGAGTACCCATATGACTGTCAGCTGATTTCTCAACAGAAACTATGCCGGTCAGAAGGGGGTGGCAAGAAATATTTAAAGTGATGGATAGCAAGGACCTACAACCAAGATTACTCTACCCAGCAAAGCTGTCATTTAGAATTAAAGGTCAGATAAAGATCTTCACAGACAAGAAAAAGCTAAAGGAGTTCATCACCACCAAACCAGTATTATATGAAATGTTGAAGGGTATTCTTAAGAAGAGGAAGAAGAAAAAGAAAAAGATAAAAATATGAACAACAAAATGGCAACAAATACATACCTATCAACAATTGAATCTAAAAATCAAAATAAACGAATGAGAAGTCTAATGAACAGAATAAACTGAATAAAATAGAATCAGAGGCATGGAAATGGAACAGACTGATGATTCTCTGAGAGAAAGGGAGTGGGGGGCGGGAAGAGAGTAAACAAAGATTTTACATGCATTACCTATGGACACAGACAATAGGGTGGCAAAGGCCTGGGATGGGGCAAGAACTGGGTGAAGGGGGCCTATGGGGGGAGGGGAAAGAGGGACATCTGTAACAATCTCAACAATAAAGATTTTTTTTAAAAAAAAACAATAAAGATTTATTTTAAAAAAAAAAACTAGAGGCCTGATGCATGAAATTTGTGCAAGGGGCTCAGCCCTCACAGCTGCGGTGGCTTGCCTCGGCCTTCGTAGCCCCGGTTTCATCTGGAAGGTTGTTTGGCTGTCTGGTTTAATTAGCATATTACACTTTTATTATTATAGAAGTCACTGGGCTAGACACACACACACACACCCATGCACATGCACGCACTTAGGGAAAACTCATGGAGTCTGAAGCCAATTAGACCACCCTCCTGTTTTGGCTCCTCTGGGGCCACTCCTGTCCGGGGGATGTAACCTCACCACGGGGTCCTCCTGCCTGGGACCCTCCCCTTTCACAAACTCCTCTTCTCCTCTGGAGGTCTGTGACCCTCAGGCTTGGCAGGCCCCACCCAGTGCACAAAAGCTCAGGCCAGGCTGTCTTGATTCCCAGCTCTGATACCACCTGTGACCTTGGCTTCTGTTTCCTCATCTGTAAAATGGGGAAAACAGTTGCTCCTAGTTCCCAATCATGGGGAAGGCGGGGAGTGAGTTAACAAATGTAAAATTAAACAGCCTCTTGACATAGTTCTGTCACCATTAACGTCTGTTTAGGTGCTTCTCTCCTTCCTAGCATCGCTGATGGCCGTTAGACAGTGAGGTCATGCAGGAAGGACCCGCTGGGTCATCTCCATGTCCCACACTCAGTGTCAGGCATACAAAAGGCCCTCAGAACACGTTTGCTCAGTGAACTCAGAGGGTCCTCCTCCCGCCTTTCATTTACTGAGTGCTTCTGCATGCCGGGTAGCACTGGACTAGGAGCTGCAATGCAGTAGTGAAGACAGGTTCCCTTCCACTGCAAGAAGAGTCATTTCTAGGCCAGAAGTTCTCAAATTTTTTGGCCTAACAACCTCTTTACACTCTTTTAAAAGTTTCAGGATCCCAAAGAGCTTTTGTGTATGTTAATATCTATTGCTATTTGCCATAGAAGAAACTAAAACTGAGAAAACTTTTAAATATTTATCAATTCATTGAAAATAACAACAAACTCATTGCATGTTAACATAAATAACATATTTTTATGAAAATATGTTTTTTTCAAAACAAAACTGTGAAAACAATATTGTTTTGCATTTTTGCATATGTCTTTAATGTTGGCTTAATGGAAGACAGCTGAATTCTCATGCCGCACTCAATCTGTGCGATATGTTGCTTTGGTTGAAGTACATAAAAAAATCCAACTCAACATTCTCCTTTTTTGTAAAAATTGAGAATACTAACACTGCGCTCGCCCCCGCCCTCTCAGAGTTTGGATCAACTCGGTTAGGCTAGCTGTAAACGGTTTCCGGAAGGGGCGTGGCCTGGCGCCCAAACGCGTAGTTGGCTGGGATTGGACAGCAAATGCGTCTGTCTGCGCGTTGTCCCCGCCTCCGACCCCGCCCCTGTTCCCTCTCATTGGTAAACTGGCTAACCCTGGCGCATGCGTCCTAAAGAAGGTGAGCACTTCCGCCCGCTCACCCCGAAACCTGTTCCCACTCGGGTTTCCGCTGGGACAGCTAGGGCGGCCCGGACGGAAGTAGCGTGGGGCGTGTGGGCGGGGCCCGGTGCAGCCATGTCCGCGGCCTTGCTGCGGAGAGGCCTGGAGCTGCTGGGGGCGCCCGAGGGTGAGGAGAACCTGCCCGGACTTCCCGCGCGGGCCTCGGGCGGCTGGGGCTGAGGGCGGGAGCCCGGAGGGTGCGGAACGGCTCTGCCCGGCCTTATCCCCGGGGGGTGGGAACCCTGCGCGCCCTCCGACCCGCGTCCGTTCCTCTTTCCCTGCAGCCCCCCAGGCCGCGCCGGGCCCGGCCACGCCGAGCGGGGCTCCGGGGAAGCGGGCCGCGAAGGCGAAGGCGAAGGCGACCCAGGCCGGGAAGCTGCGGAACTCGGCGAAAGGAAAAGTGCCCAAGTCGGCGCTGGGTAAGGTCGGGAAGGGGCCGGGCCGGGCCAGGCCCTGGAGGAAGGGGACCTGAGGCTGGGCGGAGATGCGGGTCAGGCGTTCGTTCCGAAGGCACCTCCATGAGCCACGCGCGGAGCGGAGTCCTGGGGGGACGGAGGAGTGAAACGCAAGGCCCAGGGCGCTTGGTCCACAGCCCCGGGTGGGGGGAGGCAGCAAAGAGTTTCAAAGCCAACTCGGTGTGAGGAGGGCTTTGAAGATGGTGCCCCGAGAGGGACGGCGAATAAAAGACTAAGCCAGACCTCCGAGGGAGCGGCGCGGGGAAGAGTCTTCTAGAGAGAACGGCACAGGCAGGGACAGAAGGAAGTGTGCTGCCTTTGGAAATCGGGAAGAAAGAAGCCTGGAGAAGGCGACCTGTCGTGAACGGGGGTCGGAGGTGGCGCATGTCACGGTGACCGGTGGGCGTGCGGGGGCTGAACCCCGTGCGGCGTTCACTCCGGTAACCCTCGCTGCAGCCTGTGCGGTGGGTGCAGGGGGTGCGGGTGGCAGCCCTGCGCTTACCTCCCCGTTGGGCGCTGTGGCCTGGCAGTGGAGAGGGTGCAGAGAGGAGAGACCTGTGCAGGGGGAGCTGTGCTGGGGGAGCGCTGATGGGCTTCAGTGGTGAACTGGAGGGAGAGGGAGACACCGGAAGGGAGCCCAGTCTCTTCTAGGTGGGTGGTTCTCAACCTTGGCCGCACATTAGAATCACCTGGGAATCTTTTTAAAATCCTGATTTCCGAGCCTCATCCGGAAATTCTGTTTCTTTGTTATGGGGTGGGGCCACAACATTAGGAACAAAGAAGCAGAATTTCCTGAGGATGAGGCTCGGAAATCAGGATTTTAAAAAGATTCCCAGGTGATTCTAATGTGCAGCCAGGGTTGAGAACCACTGTCCTAGAGCATCGTGGGGGGATGGGGTGCCACTTAAGGAGATAGAGACTTGGGGACCGGCAGGATGGTGGGAGGGAGGATATGTGCCAGGACTTGGGGAGCTCCTCGAGTCCCTGAACCTGGGCCTGGTGCATAAAAGGTTTCAAGTGTTTGTTCAAAGGACGATGAAATCCAGGGAGGGAACAGCCCGAGCAAAAGTGTGGAGGCAGAAAAGGGAGGCCCATTTGAGCAGCAGTGATGTTGGTGTGAAGGGCAGAGGGCACAGGTGGCCCCAGCCAGCCCAGACCTCGTCCCATAATCGGTACATCATTGACGGGCGAGGGGACTCTCAAGCCTCAATGGCCGATCTGAAAAGCACCTCTGTGGCTGCCGCTCCTGGGAACTACGTACATCTCTGCCTGAAAGACTGTGAAAGCCTCCTAAATGGTCTCTCACCTTCCACTCCCCCCTCCGCAAAACAGCCAAAGTGATCCTACAAAATCGTGTCAGACCTTTCTCTCCTCTGCCCCACACCTTCCTGTGAAGGCCGAGTTCTCAGGGTGCCTAATGAGGCCCACCTGGCCCGCCCCTTCTGCTGCTCTCTCCTCCCCTTCCAGCCATTTCTCACACCTCTGCTTCAGGGCGTTCGCACTGGCTGTTTCTCTATCTAGATTCTAGAATGATCTTCCCCCACATACTACACTCTCCCTTGAGTCTTTGCTCAAACATCATTTCATTGAGGCTTTTTCAGACCCTCGGGTTTAGAACTGCATCCTTTTCCTGGCTGGGTAGCTCAGCTGGTTAGAGCATCGTCCCAATATGCCCAGGTTGCAGGTTCAGTCCCCAGTCGGTGTGCATGCATAAGGCAGCCAATTGATGTTTCTCTCTCCCTCCTGTCATCTCTCTAAAAACATCTTCATGTGAGGGTTAAAAAGAAAAAAGTTAGCCTTTGGCCGGTGTGGCTCAGTGATTAAAGCATCAGCCCATGGACTGAAGGGTCACCGGTTCGATTCCCAGTCAAGGGCACATACCTGGGTTGCAGGTTCGATCCCCGGCCCCCACTGGGGGTGAGTGAGAAAGGCAACCAATTGATGTGTGTCTCTCACATCAGTGTTTCTCTCTCCCTCCTCTCTTCCATCCCCTCCCTCCCTCTCTCCCTCTCTCCCTTTCTCTCAAGTCAATCAATAAAAAAAGAATGCAACCCTCCGTCCCTGATTCCTGTTTACTATTCTGTTTTTCTTCATAAAATGTATCACCTTCTAAAATACTGTTTACCACCTCTTCCCACTGGCATGTACGCTCCATGAGGGCAGGAGGCTTTGCCTGTCGGTGTCCTGCTGTGTGCTCTGCACCTAGAACAGTGCCTGGCACACAGTTAAGCACTTGGGACATACTTGTTGCATAAGTCACTTGAGCATCTGGGAGCCAAGAGGTCTTTCAGCAGGATCTGTGTGGAGAGTGGATTTGACAGAAAAGAGCCCAGGCCATTACAGTAATTGAGGGAAAGGACAACAAGGCCTTTGGCAAGGCTGGGGCGAGGGGGTGGGGGTGGGTAATGGGGAGATATCAAGAGGGGACCTAGAAGGCTTCCAGGGAGTGCATCTGAAATTATGCCGCCCTGCTTACCACCCATCCACAGCTGAGTTCCAGAAGCGAGAGCGTCGAGGCTACCTTGGGGAGAACCTGAGGTTCATGACCGGTGCCAGAAGCACCGTGCCGGAGTCCGTCACCCAGCAGGTGTGTCGGGGGTTATGAGAAGGAAGCTGTGGGGAGAGAGCTGAGGATGTTCCTGGGGACCCCTGGGGGTCTCAGCCCTAGCATAGGGTGGAGTTTGGGCCACCCCCCACGTTCCTGTATTGCTGTGCGGTGGGGCGTCTCCCCCTGAAGGGCTGAGAGCGTACCAGGTCGTACAGCTCCCTCATGTCCTGACTCCTGCACATCCCCAGATTCTGCGCCAGAATCGGGGCCGCAAGGCCTGTGACCGGCCTGTGGCCAAGAAGAAGAAGAAGGCTGAAGGCACTGTGTTCACGGAGGAGGACTTCCAGAAGTTCCAGCAGGAATACTTCGGCAGCTAGGCTCCTGGAGGGCCCAGTGGGAGAGGCTTGGGCCCAGCTTCCTCCTCTGACCTCACAGCCATTGCTGGGCCTGGCACTCTGCCATGCACAGAGGGGGCCAGGCTGACCCGAGGAAGCCCTGGAGCTGAAGCCAGGGGCAGGCTGGCATGGAGCTGGTGAGCTGGACGCCTGCGGGAGCATTTAAACTCGGACGGAGGGGAAACCCGCAGGCTTGGGAAGAGCTACCTACCTGCCAAAAAGGAACATTTCTGACTGTATTGTTTGCTTTGGCCCAAGTAGGACCTCTTGGCTGTTTGCTGTAGAGGCCAGTTACTGGCCCTCAGGGGCCACACCTCGAGGAGGAAGAGGAGGGCTGCTGGGTATGCTTCCAGGTTCTAATAAATATGGGCTCCAGCTGGGTGTGTGCTGCTGGTCTGACTCGAGGTGTCTCATCTCCTGTGGCACCAAAGAGCCTTCCCTCCCTTCCCCACCTCCCAGTGTGGTTCTTAGAGCTCCAGAGCAGAAGTCCTCCAGTCCAGCCCCAGTGCAGGCTGCCACCCAGAGAGAGTTCACCCAGCATCTGCTGGCATAGCCCAGAGGGGCCCTCCTCCCCTGGGTGGCGCCCACAGCTGCCAGCAGCTTTGGTCCAGGGATGCGACTCCAGGGTCTGGGGAGAGGGAGTGCTGCCAGCCTGTCGCCCAAGTCCTGTGCCTGTGTGTGTGTCAGCAGTATTGGGGGACTGGTGGGGTGATTCAGGAGGCGACTTCAAGCAACAGGATTTCACACTCAGGTCTGTGCCTGAGCACAAAGGTAGGGGGGGCTGGACCCCTTGCAGCCGGCAGTGTTGGGCACAGGATGTGCCGACCAGCATTGTCTTCAGTGTGGAGAGGGCAAGTCCTGGAAGCCAGGGGCCCCTTGGGTTGGGGGCCTGCTGGAGAGGAGGGCCCTGGGCACCTTCAGGCAGCTCTCCTACCTCTTCCCCCTCCCCCAACGGGCTTCAGAGGTCATGGCATTGTCTGAGGCTTCTGAAGGGTCCCGTGGCTGGAGTGACAGTCAACCTCCCTGCATGGGTTCTAATGTGCCTTGGAGCTCTGTTCCTGGTTGTTAACCAGCTTTCCATCCTGAGCGTGGGCCACAGAACGGCCGGCGTAGAGCTGGACCCGGTCCTGTCTGCAGATGCCTCCTGAGCGGTAGGAAGCAGGCCATCCAGGTCAAGGCTGCAGGAGGGTGCGGACTCCAAACAGGAAGTGGCCCACCTTCCTCAGAGCAGCTGGTATCCTGCCTCATTCTCCACCCGCTTCCTCCAGCTGAGTCTTAATGACCCTGGTGGGAGAGCTACACACCGGATATCCTTAGATTCATCTTTTAGGCTTAGGCTAGTTGCAGTCCATTAGTCCCTTTGAATGTGGGTGTGAATTCAGGACAGCACTTCCTGAACAGCCCCAAAGAACAGCAAGAACTCCTTTTAGCCCAGATTAAATTTCCTCTATCTCCCCATGCTTGAGTGGCCACAATTCTGGCCAATGACCCGTTCCCAGGTGATTAAGTACCTTATGTCACCCCAACTTTACTGGGCATGGAACTGATCCCCCACCCCCAGTGACCTAGAGGGAATAGACCATATACCTATGGATTGGGGGGGGGGGGGTCGGTCAAGTTGTAGCTTCCTGGTGAAGCTGCCCAAATGACAGGCCTAGATCCTTCCCTTTGCTTACAAGGGCATCAGAACCCAAGAGCTTAGAAGTAGAAACTATTCATCAGCACACCCAGCTCAAGGACTGACTGTGGAACCTTATCTGGCTGCTGAATGACAGATGTTGGCAAAGGCCCGACTGGGAGAACAGGTGGAGCCTGGGCTGTTCCTGCTACCAGTTCCCTCCAGTTAAAACTCCCTAGAGCCTTGCCCCTAACCAAGGGATGGCCCTCGGATTCCCAGCTCTGGCCCAGAGTCCGATGGAGTCACCAGTGATCCTGACCATAGCACATCTCACTCTGGGCTCAACCTTACATGTTTTAAAACATGTTGAAACCTTCTGGTTAAGAATCTAGTCCTAAGACAGCTGGCTGGGTTATTTGAGGAAAGAAAACATACAGCAGTCTGCACAGTACTTTCACTACAAAATAATTTATTATGATACACATCTCCAGCACAAGCCTCCTATGTACAAGCACACCGACTACCCTAACTAGGGGGCCCTTTTCTTTCCCCTGGCCTTGCGGACTTCCTCTATCAGATCTTTCAGGTACTGGATCTCCTTGGCCAAGGAATCGGCCTTCTCTTTCAGAGCCTCGTTTTTCTTTTCTAGCTCTTTACACTCACCGGTGAGGGCCTCCTGCTCTGCTCTCTTCTTCTGGCGGTACCTAGTAGCTGCTGTCTTGTTCTGCTCCATTTTTTTCAGCCTTTTATCTAGTTTCTCACCCTTTACTTTTGCAGCTACCACCTTCTCTACGGGAGGGTCATAGGGTTTGGGGCCAGCAGACCCACAGGGGGGAGCTGAAGACAGCAGATTCCTGTTTGGGGAGGCCCTGGAGGTGGAGGGACTATTCTGGGGAGAGCCCAGATAGGACTCAGGGCTCATACAGATGCCACTGTCATTGTCTGAGGTGACATCCTCCTCCTTTATGGGAATATAAGTAGTGGAGTCTGATTTTCTCTCTCCTTCAGAGATGTCAACTTCACTTCCCAGCTCTAAACTAAAGGAATGATCCGGAGTGCAGGACAGGGCCTCCGGGGAAAGGGGAAGAGGTTGCAGGAAGGTGAAGGGGGCAACCTGGTCAGTTTTTAGCAAACTTTCTGGAAGATGGCCAATTGGGTTCATGGTATGGGGGGGCTCCTTATTAATCTCCTGGTCTAGGGGGTCGAAGAGGTCACAGGGGTCATCCAACGTGGCCAAAAGCTCATCAGGCATGGTGTCCAGGTCACCTAAACTTAACAGGGCATCGAAGTCAAACTCCTTGAGATCCATTTTCTCCACCATCCAATCTGTCCCCGAGAAGGCATCCTCTGCAAAAGATTTTAAAAGAAATCAATTCAGCCAGATGCACAAAGCAACCAACTACGACCAGAACTCAGTGGCAAGTCAACGATGCACTCACCCTTGCCGTTGTCTGAGGCACTGACCAACCCATCCACAGCCAGCCATTCGGAGGAGCCCGCCTTAGCCTTGTCGCTGGAGAACCCATGGGGTTTCAAGTTCTTGGCCACCTCCAGGTAGTCGTCTAAGAGATCTAAGCTTTCTTCAGCCCCCAAACCCGACTGGTTGAAGGGGGACATCAAGCCCCCCACCAACACCTCGCTGCTCAAGAAGCTCATCTCGGTCATGCTGTGGGGCTTTGCTGAAATCGAGGAATGTGTTTAATTCGAATGTGTCTTTGTCGGTTACAGCAATGCTGCTGCTGAATGCCGTGAAAAGCCTGCATAGGAACGAGAAAAAAGTCCCATTAGCGATGGGGGGGGGGGGCCGGAGAAGCTCGTCTTTTCACCCTGAGGCAGGAAGGCCAACCCCGACTTGGCCGTAGGGAACTGGAAACACGTGGCGCCAGAGCCATTGTGCGCCTCTCCCTGCTCCGTCCGGGTCAGGCGGCTCCTTGGACGCCCTTGGCGCTGGGCCGCTCCCCCAGCGGCCGCAGGAGGTAGACGCTGCTTCCTCCCGTCCAAACGCGGCCGCGCCGCCGCCTCCCCCGCCCCCGTGACTCACGCCGCCCCCGTGACTCACGCCGCCGGCCGCCGCCCAGCCCGCCGCCATCTTGCTGCTGCCACGTTTTCGCCCGGCGGGCTGGGGGTGGGAGAGGCGAAGCACTGGGGGCTTTTCCTCGCACCGGGGGCTTTTCCCTCGGGCCCAGGGCCAGGCCGCGCTCCCCCAGCTTGGGCGCCGGCGTCTCGGGGCAGGCACACTGGGGCCACGCGTCCCCAGCGCTCGTAAAACCGCTTCCCCCTCCGCGACGCCGCCGGCCTGCGGCCGCACGCAGGCAGACAGATCGCAGGTCCTCGGCGACCCAGGGGCGCCCGGACACAGCAGCCCGTCCCCCTACTTACGCCATGGCTTAAGCCGCTGGGAGGTGCCGCTGCAGAGCCTGGTGCTGCTGCTGCCGCTGCAAAGGCCAATGCTGCCGCTGGCACTGCTGCCTCTAGTGCGCCATGTCGGCCGGGAGCTGTGGGAGCGGAGGAGGAAGGGACACGCTCAGAAGTCTACATCTGCAGGCGGGAGAGGAAATGGCCGAAATAGCCGGCCCGCGGGTCTTTTATAACTTTTTCCTTTATGAGCCGCATCACAAAGGAATCCTTCCGCGCCGTCACGTGACCTTCGCCTCCCGCCCACTAATTTTCATCTTTTGACACACTACCTCTTCCAACCAACGACTTTTTTTGGCCAGGGCGTAACTCTAAAGAGAAAATGTGCTATTTTAAAGGCCTCGAGAAACAAAAGACTCACTGCTTTACAAGGCTCCTAAGATCAAAGAGTCACTGGGAGCGCGGAGGGATCCACCAGACACGCCCGCTTCCGGTGTTAGCTGAAGGCCGGGGAGAAGTCATTTCCAAGAAAGGTTTTTATTGTGAAGCCCGAAGCCTTCTCATCGCGAGAGATGCCGGCGGAGAGCGCGCATCGAGCTGATTGGCCAGCCGTGGTGAGTCATATATAACTCGAGTTTTTATTGGCTCAGGGTCCAAGGTGGGTGGGCTGTGCAGTGAGGTGGCCTCTGGTGCGCGAGGGAAGGGGCGGGGGCCGGAGGGTTTCCCGCGTGCGGGTCTGGGGTCTGTCGTCCGCCCGCCCTTGGCGGTGCCCCGGCTTTGCAGCGGCTCCCTCCGCCAGGCCTGTAGCCGGCCACCACCCCTCTCACCCACCGAGCCCCAAATAGTGACGGCAGCCCCAGGCCCTGCGGTCGCTAAGCTGCCTGCTCTTAGTGCAGCTCTAACTAGGGGCCAGATTGCGGCTGGAAGATGAAACTGGGCAAAAGGAAATGTCATTTCGGTGCGATTTCACCACACGGGAGCCCTTCGGTAGCGGAAAGGGGAGCCTGAGGACCGCAGGCGGAAGATCGCCTGACCCCTGCCCACCTACCCCAAAGGCCTGCTCTGCGCCGGGAAGATGCAGAATCCTATGGCCCAACCAGTTCTGTTTTTATATATCCATTCTGCCAAAACATGTCTGCTTGTCCATTAAAACACGCAGGCCATCACAGCAGAACTTGTTTGGTTGGGTACGCTGTTTCTCTAAACGAGGAGGGAATTTACTCACCTACCTCCCAGGCGTCCGCTTCCGAGCAAGTCCTCATGGCCTGTGAGGAGCGGAACCCACGCCCTCGGGGCAGGGCCATCCTCTCTCCCTCCGCAGTCAGGCCCTGGAGGGACGGAAACCTGGAGTTTGTGCCGCCATGCATTTCAGCGGGCCTTACAAATAGTCCTGAGGGCTGTGCTGTGAAAACATCGGGAACC